CCTGCGGAAGAAGAAGAACCAGCAGCGGTAGTTCACATGGGATTGGGAAAAACTGTAAGAAGAAGAGGAGTCATCGAAGGTTCTAGAACCACCGCCGATGCCGATGGACCTGTGTGCCCAAATCCAGAGATCCTTCGACCAACGTTACACCTCCCACGCTCGCCACTCGCTCGACGAATTGCCTGACAGCTTCACCATCACTGACCCCCACATCCCGGGCCACCCTATCGTTTTCGCAAGCCCGGGCTTCCTCAAGCTCACGGGCTACGCGCGCTGCGAGGTCCTCGGCCAGACCGCCGCCATCTTCCAGGGCCCGGGCACTTCCCGGAGGTCCGTCATGGAAATCCGCGAGGCCGTCCGAGAGGAGCGCACCGAGCAGGTCGTTTTGCTCAACTACCGTAAGGACGGCACGCCGTTTTGGATGCTATTCCGCGTCTGTCCCGTGTTCAGCGCCGACGGCGGCGCCGTCGTTCATTTCGTCGCTGTTCAGGTCCCGCTTCATAAAATGGACGGCTCCGGCGTCAGGGATTTCGGCTTCGGGTGCTGTCGGAAGGAAGTGTGCACTGATTCGTTATCGGAGCTTGGTCGCGTGTGTTCCGTGGAGCAAGTGTTGGAACGTGATGTCATTGGTTGGTTTGTTTGTTTTTGCATTTTGCCATTTTCCTTTTCAGTTGAGAGCTTTGTGTTAAATATTGCTTCACCAACTCTGTGAAGTGTTGGTTGCGCACAATTAAAAATGATTTCAGGACAAAACACAGATATGTGTGCTTCTGTTCGTGTTTTTTTATTTAGGATTGTAGTTTAATCTTCTTAATCTATCTAAAATATACTTTTATTATATCAATCGCGGATATGGAATGGAACTCATGATTAGAATTCTGGCAATAAATTTTAACCTGTATTCTGAAAACCATGAATACCCTTTTTGATGTTGTGTTTTTAGGGAAAATAGTTGCATCTTCAATGGATTTAAAAATGTTTACAAAAAAAAGTCATCATAAATTGATTAAGTAAAACATTGAATAAAAAGATCAAAATCACAAGGAGAACTGGATTTAAGTTTTCTGCTAGTTCTAAATCTTGCATCCTTTTCTTTATTCATACTTCTACTTGCTGAACAGAAGAAGTTAAATGCATTTTACATTTGATGCAGAATTAATGTGGTAGCCTCATTTGGTCTTGAAATTGTGCTAGTGGTTTGGTTTATACTGATTTATTAGCTTTGTCAGATGCAGAATTGGAGAGGGAAGATCCGTGTGTGGCGAGTGATGAGGAGATGCGAAGTGCCGCCACTGCCATGGACAATATCTTCTCTGTGCTAACCCATTTTAGTGAAGCAACTGGCAGATTTGTGTGTAGGAAGAGGTGCAGCATTCCTGACGTGGGTCTTTTAAGCACATCCTTGATTATTTCTCTTGGTAGAATCAAACAAAGCTTTGTATTGTGAGTTATTGGAAATGTCTAGTTTTGGTATTACTTTACCAAGAGCTTTATCCTTTTTGCAGATCCTTAATTTGTTGTTTATATGGTTTTGAGTTTCCTTGCAGAACAAATCCTCATTTATCGGACATGCCTATTGTTTATGCTAGTGATGCCTTCTTGAAATTGACAGGTTCTAAAACTATTTCCTTGCACAAATTGAGTTTTGTTTTGATAAACTTTTCAACAAGTACTTATAAGGAAAAAAATAAGGCAAATGAATTACACTTTTCTTTTAGTTAAAATCAACTTATGGATTCCACCTTTTATAGAAGTGCTCTCATCTAACTTTTTCCAACAACTGATGTGCATAAGTTGATTGAAGAAGCTTGATTCATTTATCTTTTCTTTTTTTTTTCTTATGCTACTTATTGAAAAATTTATCCACCATAACGAAAGCCTCACGCTTATTTACAGCTTAATGCTGGGATCTGATGTAAGGATATAAAACCAATAGCTGAAATTTACTTATGTTTTAATTATTCCATTACCTGAATAGGTTATGAAAGAAGTGAAGTTTTGGGTCGCAACTGTAGGTTTTTAGGTGGAACAGATACTGATACCTCTACTTTATATCTGGTAGTATGATTTTCTTGCCATAGTTTTTAAATGATGTCTTCCTAATTTGGCAACTTGGAGTCTCGGACTAATGGAAATTAACTTTGGGATTATGCCTTTTTCTTGTTGTTTACAGATAAAGGAAAGCATTAAAGCTGAACAACCATGCACAGTACGTATTTTGAATTACAGGTTAATACTTCACTTTTGATTCTGCTGCCAAAGCTGTGAAGTTTATTTATTGAATATACTAATATTTTGGACACTGGCAGGAAGGACGAAAGTTCATTTTGGAATTTTCTTCACATCTCACCCGTTCGTGATGCTTCTGGCAAGGTAATCTTGGCAAAGTATTCTTAACTGAGATACAAATCTTAAAACATCCGTTTTCTAATTTTCTGTCAGTCATTTGTTTTTCTAAGCTCAATTGGAGACAGGAGTAGAATTTTAATCAACCAAACATGAATATGGTCTTGATATTGGTAAATAGATGACAGCTACTATTTTTCCTGCTTTGAAACGGTACCATTTTTTAAATATTATATCAGTCAGGTCCTAATGTGTAACTATATTTAAAATTATGAATTTTTTGTGGTTGTTTGTTAACGTATTATATGATTATGAACTCTGAAATTTGTCAGTCGTTGTGCATAATAAGTGGTTTGTTGCACTGGAAAAACTTTCATTAAGGAAGAAATGGTTCATATTGTGATAAAACTTTTCCTATTTTGTTTGCTTTTACCTCTTGTTACTCGTCTCCGCCGCTCCCCCAAAATTGAAAAAAAAAATAATTCAAGAAATGAAGTCAGTAAACTGATTTGCAAAATTTTACAATGTATACAAAATTGCTTCATTGGAGATTGCACGACTGTAATTATTGTGTAAGTTTGGGTGATGTATCAGCAGATAATTTGATGGATGTATCATTTGCTGCTAAAGTGTTGTGGTGAATAGTAGTAGCTGAAATTGTAGATGATGGCTTAATAATATTCACACTTGACGTTTTATTTAGGATAACTTGATAGTCCCTGGTATGTATGTCTGGTTACAATTTAACATGCAAACACTGGTCTTTTGTTTGCCTGTTTGATGGTACCTTGAGTTCCCACTTTCTCATTTCTTTCTGTGGTTAAGTAATGAAAAATCCTGATTCTAGCCTTCTCTTGCCTCGTGATTTGAGTTATCAATAATCGTAAGTCAGTTGGCTTGAATTTGTTTTCATATTGATGCAAATCATTATGTATTCTTATGGGTTTTTGCTGAGTTAAGTTAGTCAGGGATGAACATCCATTACGGGCACTTTGGGGAAAGACGTGATCCTTCATAGATGGGTTTCAAGTGTGTATACATCATGTGATGGTCTTTCACATTTATGTGTCTTGAATCTGATGATTTGTTACCCAGTTTATCATGCTTCCATACAAGCTAAATTGAAGCCCTACTAATTAGAGTGATCGATGCTGTTGTTCAGGTTGCATACTTTGTGGGAGTTCAAATAGAAGACAGCAATAAAAACGACGATAGCCAGTGTTTGAGTCCAGAGAAAAGGCAGCTTAGTGTGGTTGGTGTAGTGAAGGTTGCAGTGAGGAGTTTATCAATGAGTGCGGGATCTTCAAAGTCGTAGCACAAGGATCTTGTGAGTTCGTTCCTTACAATATTCATCCATTGGGGACAAATGGTCAATCTCAACCAGGGATCGTTGAGATGATAGAAAGAAGCTAAAAAATTAATTGTGAAGAGAAAAAAACAATCCATATATTGTAAGAAAACATTCTGCTTTCCAAGTCTATAAATAAAATGTATTCTATTTCCGCCTACTGCTTTGAAAAGAACTTTATTTACAGTAATTTAGCAATAAAAATTTACTTGCACTAATTTCACCTTCTCCTTCTCTATAATATACAACTCTGTAGTTACTGATATATACATAATATGTATATATGTATGTATTCAGACTTTAATTAAGCAATGAATGCCTTCATATATTTATACTAGGCATTTATTGCAATTCGTAGATTAAGATCTAATGATAGTTTTTATAACAGACTGGAAGATGAATTGCAATCTATATCCAAGTATTAGAACATTAAACTTTATTTTGTTCTCTCTCTTTCTTTTTCTAAAATACTACATTAATGAATGAATAACTTACTTATTACTGCTTTACATAGTTAGAATTAGAATACTTCAATAGGATATTATTAAGGACCACTTTAATTTCGTCCTTCTAATGCTCAGATTTTTTAATATTTTATTTTTATTAATCCATTATTTGTAAAATTTAATGCAAACATGAATTACTCTTGTCAAATATATTCTTATTTTTTCACTTAAAATTTGATTGATTTGCATTAGTATATATTGTAATATGAAATGAAAAGTGACAAAGTGAGAAATTATATAATTATTTAGCTAAAATAAAAGAAATACATTTAACTTTTTTTTTTGTTTAAAAGCTTTAAAAATATGAATAGGAATGGAGTATTATTTAATTAAAAATAAATATATTATTATTTGTAGTTACAGGGCTTTTTTTATCGTAAAAAAGAGAGTGAAATGAAGGAACACTTTATCATAAAGAAGTGAGAGCAAAATCATTCTTCTAAATTAATATGTGATAAGGTTGACTAACGCCTGCTTGTTAGTCTTTTGATTGGACATCTTGTGGTTGATTGAGTTAAGAATTAGGAATTGACTTAATCATCAGACCATTAATCCCTAACCTAAAAAAAAAAATAAAAACAAAAAAAATAAAGTGAGTGATGAGATAAGATTAACCAAAAGTAATGGATATGTTAAATAGAATAGAAAATTCCCAAGGTAAGATGAAATGGGAATTAAAAGATGTAAAAGAATAATGGTCAAAAGTCAAAAGCTCAAACACTCTCCACCCCATACCCACATGCATGAACAAAGGAAAAATGAGTAATTCAGTTTCCTCAAACACTTTCTTTCTGTCTAAACCATTTTCATTTCACCTGAACCCAAACCGCACCGCTCGGAACTCCAGCGTGCACGATAAAAAGCATGTAGAACCCAGGTGGCGCCACAGCCAGCGAAGGGGGCGCACGCGCAACCACTCTGTACCCTGAAGGCGCCACCTGCTCAACCCCAACCACCTCCAGCAAAAGCAACCTCTGGTTCATCGCGAACGAGTGCGTCGTAAATGACGGCGCCACCAGCGTCACTCCCACCCCTCCAACACGGTACTCCCGTACCAAAAAATTCACCGCAAACACCTTTCCATACGACGCCGTATTGTTCGTAGCCTCAACAGCGACTATCGAGGGACGCATTGAGTCAAACTCTGTCCCCAAATACTCCGGGTAATACGCATCCAAACTCAACTCCGTCGGGTACGGGTTTGCCCGAAAATCATAAACCCTATGCGGGTTGCTCCCGCCCACTAAAACCCTGCCATCTGGTACCAGCACAGCGGACGAGTGATACATCCTCGGAGTACTCGCCGGCGCCAGTAACTGAAACCTCGGAAACTGGTCAACCAAACCGGGTCTATACAAAACCGGATGCAAAACCGGGTTGGCCGCGTTCTCCCACCCGGCGGTACCATTCATTGCACCGTTCAAGATAATGACATTCCCATTGGGAAGCAGAACCATGTCAGGCATAACCCTCGGCGTGGGCATTGTTTCCATGACCCACACAGGGTTCGAATCCGTCACTCTCAACCTCCCGCACGTTCGGGAAGCTTCTAGAAAGATCTTCAACGTGTTGGCCAAGCTAAACGCGCCAGGGTAGGCCCCGCCGCATATCATAATTTCGGCGTCGGGCAAACGCGTTTTGTTGAGACCCGTGAGGTTTAACGGGAGGAGAACGGAGGAGGCTGTGCTGGGGTAGTTTCTTTTTTCTTGGCCGGGGATGGTGGGGAAGTTGCGGAGGACTTTGTTGGTGGTGAAGTTGAAGAGGATGGAGTTGCGGTTGGCGAAGATGAAGAGGTTTCCGTCTGGTAAGAGGTGCAAGAAGGGGTAAAGATTGTTCTCCTCGCCGCGGTTGGGGTCACGCGTGTGTTTCAAGAAGGGAAGGTAGTGGAACGACGAGGAGGCGACGTCGTTTTTGGGGACGAATTCGTAGGTGAAGGAGTTGCGGCCACCCACGACGATGATTTTCCCCGAGGGAAGGATTTGGTTGGAGGAGTACCAGCGGCTGTTCGAGAGGCTGTGGTTGCGAAGTTCGCGCCAGTCGCAGGTATTGTGTTGGGGGCAGGGGGTGAAGGAGCGGAGGGTGGTGTAGCCGTCGTTGAAACCGCCAGTCTGGAGGAGGGAGCCGTCGGGGGTGAGAGCCCCGGAGGAGCACCAGGCGTCGGTGCGGAGGGTGAGGGGGCGGAGGGTGTTGTGGGAGAGGTCGTAGAGGATGGAGTGGGCGGTGCAGTCAAGCTTGAGGGCGAGGTCGTGGGGGTTGAAGCGGCAGCGATGGTGGGAGAGGGAGATGTTGGAGGGGCCGAAGTCGGTGCGGTCGAAGATTACGACCTTGTTGTCGTACATTACTTGCATGTGCATGGCGGAGATGCCTATGCTGCGCTGCAGCTCCACCCAGTGACCTCCTTTGGTGGTTGTACCATTTTCAATGCTAATTACGACCTCAAAGAACATGCTTTGAACAAGAATAAGAAAGAAAGATGGAAGCTTCTTGATCTTGAAAGCCATGGTAAGTGTTGGGATATGGTGCTGTGTGCAGTGTACTTTTACTAGTTTTGTGGTGAGTTGTTTCTCTTTCTAATTTCTTTTCAATGGTGTTTCTCTTGTCATGATAGGGTGCAGAATTACATGTATGAATTGCAGATGAATTTATTGTGGATATCTAGTTTGTTGTGAGTGATGAAGAAAGAAAACATGCAACAATGGCACGATCAGTTCGTCCGAGAAAAAACAGGGGCCCAAGCCTACCACGGTTTCAGGAGGACACTCGGAAAATTTGTGCTTTTGCCTCATTTTATATTATTACTTTATTTATTAAATAAGTAATAATTCTTACAAAAACAAAAATCTCATTTCCATCTAATTTTCATTTCTCTTTTTATACGTACATGTAGAAGGACAGTTTAATTTTAAAGCAACATTTTTGTGTTTACAGATGTTTCCTTTTAAGTAAGGATTTATAGGGTTATGAGACTAAATGATGAATCGTTCTTACGTGTTATTAATGATTTCTTAAAATAATGTGTAATTGATATTAATTATTCTATTCCATTCACAAAACTTAATTCTAACATATAATTTCAGAAACTGAACTTGGTTTAGCGTCTAGCTTTTGTATTTTGAGCATTTTCTATATATTTTAAACAATTTGGCATACATTAATCACTACATATTCTTTGTTTTTATATCTGAAAAAACAAATGATTGCAGGGAGTGTGAGTGAATGGGGCCAGCAATTGAAACACTTTAATTGGAAAGATTGACTGTGGAGGTTAGACCTCTGATTAACTACATTGAGTAGCATGGATCAGTTTTGTCTAATTTGAATAGAAACTCAGCTTGCACAACAGGGAATTCCTCAGTAATTATGAAGCACGATGTCATCGAATTGATTTTGTACTCTATATAACTAAATAACTATTGGTCCTACCAAACCAGACATATGATCTACAACTTACATATAGTTGAAACACGACTCCCTAGACCGGATGATGCAAAAGTCGATATCTATGGTCTATTAATGATACGGTGCGAAAAGATTACATATTTAGTTTCATCGTAATTGATAATTGGGTTTTAAGATTCATGGGCTTTTTTCCACATGTATCTCCAACTCTTTTTTATTGTATTTTTCATTTTTATAAGGTTTAATTATTTCAAAAGTTTCTATGCACAATCATCTCAGTTAGATTCTTGTATTATTTTCTGTAAAATTGTGTTTCTTAACTTGTTTATTACGCAAATTTTAATGACATGACCAGTGTGGTGGAATTTATTTTATTTTAAGTTTTAAATAAAATCTCAATTCCAAACAAATTATATCAAGTGTCATGTTTGAATTTTGTTACCTCTAACTCTTTCTCCGGTGCTATGGAATATAGTAGCTCCCAAAGTTTTTTTCTCTTCCTTCTTCTTTGCTCTTCTGGTCGCCAAATAATTTCTCCGTCGAACTAACAGTGGTCGGATAAAATAAAATAAAAAAACAAAAAGAGAAAGACGAATATGAGTAAGATTGTGGGTGTGTGTGAGTGTTGGAAGGGAATAAAGATGGGAGGGTTTACTGGGCATGACTGAACAATGTGCAAGGTAGTAGTCAAAAAATGCAAAAGGATACGAGAAGCATTATGGTAAAATGGTGGTGTCAGAGAATAACAAAAGCAATGATGAAATATGTATGTGAGATAAGAAATGTTATTGGGGTGATCAAACAGTGGAGGAGGGAAGAGAAGAGAAGGTACCATAGGAAAGGAAGGCAGTGAGATAGAAGTCAATCTAAAATGCGTCTAGCACCAAGGCGATCGAGCTGCAAGACTTTTGTAGAAACCTTCAAATTGTCGTGGCTAAGAAAGGCGTGAATCATGTGTTGCGCAATGGCATGTCCGGTGGGCTCATCATCAATGACGACAACGGCGTTGAGGCCAGCGCCACTAATGGTACAGCCAAAGGCCCCAGCCTAAAGGGCAACCTTCTTAAGAGCCTCCATGCCGGGAATTAAGGGGCCACGCCGGGGCTCAACGATCTTGTTAGAGGACAAAGCCTTCCCCAAACCAACCATGTCACCCTTCAACACCGCCGCCACCAAAGCGCCAACCTGACTACAATTCCAAACGTGGTGTGCCATCTCAATCTCACCGGGGAGCGTTGTGTGCATCTTCTTCGTCGGGGCTTTGAATTTAGGACTCACTAGCACAAAATACAACTCCTTCTTCGTGGGAAACTTTAGCTCTATCAACTGCAGCGGCTCATAGCTTTGAATCAGCACGAAACGCCCCATGATCGATGGGGTCACGTCGTCCGCGTGATACCCCGAAACCTTCTCTTCCGATTTCAACGATGCCACAACAAGATCCTCCACGCTCAATCTCTTCCCAAACATCTCGTTCACCGCCATGGCCGCAGCGGCGCCGTTGGCAGTGCTCGATCCCAAACCGCTTCCCAAAGGCAGGCCCTTCTATAGGGAGAGCGAGAGGCCGACGTATCAAATGTAGAGCATTTTCATGACTTCGATGGTGGAGATGTTAGCGTAGTTCCATAGAGGGTTTTTGTTAAGCTTGTCGGGAGCATGGCCGGTGATGTCGGAGATGCATATCTCGTCTAGGTGAACCTGTGGGTCGACCCTGACGAAGACAATTGCCCCATCCCGTTGATGACACAACCTAGGAAGTCGAAGCTAGGACCGAGATTGGTGTTAAACTGCTTTTCAGTCGCACAAAAATATAACAAACTCAGTTTGCCCACTAATGAAGTATAGGGACTCAGTTTGCCCACTAATGACGTATAGGAATAACCAAGGATCAATCCACAGACTTGGAAAAATTTAGTTTAAAAATGTAGAGTTAAATCCTTTTATTTTACTTACTATTTATTAAGTGGGAAAAAGAAAATTGAATTTTAAAAGAAAATAATTAAAAATTGAAATCTCCTTAAACAAAATAAGAAAATAAAATGCAAGAAAGAAATTAAAGACTGAAACCTAAGCTAAAGTATGGAATATATGTATAACAGAACAAAACCTAAACTAAAATGAGAAATGAATGCAAGTAAAATGCTAAAGATAAAAGACATACAAGCATGGAAATTGGAATTAAATCACGGACACATGACAGTAGCAATTTAAAAGCTATACAACGCATCTAACTTAAAGCGAAACAACAAAATACTAGTATCAAAATCCAAAACATAAGTGCAATCACAACAATAATCAAAATGCAGAATCTAAACTTGTAGAGAAAGTAAATCAGCACCAAAAATTAAATCGAACCTAATCCAGATGTTATCAGAAAGAAATTGAAAGCTGTAATTGAACTAAGAAAGCAATTAAACTCCGTTGAATCAAATTAAGAATCATAAAATGTACATGAAACAGAGAAAATCAAAGTAAATGAAATTGCATTGTAAAGAAAAGAATTAACATCCGTTGAAGGGGGAATGGATGTTGACATCCGTTACCCCTTCAGCGGATGTTGATATCCGTCGATGGATCATCACATCCATTGAAGGATTGACATCGTACCAGCCCCACTTGCAACGTTCCCACCACCACAAATAAATTAAAAAATAACAAAACAAATATACAAAATCAATAATACTAAAATAAAAAAACACCTAAAACACTTAAAGTTATGCAATCCTTCAACGGATGTGATGATCCGTCGACGGATCATCACATTCGTTGAAGGATTGGCATTGCACACTTGAGACGAAGCTCCTCCTGCTGCTACGGTAACCACCACCACAAACGTTCCAGCACAGCCCACCACCGCGGTTCCTTGCCAGCCCCACTTGCAACGTTCTAGCACAGCCCACCACCACACCGACTCACACCACACAGACTTACCCCACCACTACAATCTAGCTCGCGAAGAAGAAGAAGAAACACATGAATGATTTCTGTGTGCAGAGGTTCCTGGTGTGTGGGGGTGCATTTGTTTTAGAGGAGAGGAGAGCAATAATTAATGAAAGTAGGTTAATGTTGTTGGTGAAAATTTACTGCAGGGCAATTTGGTCATGGGGAGGTGCAGGGAGTATTGAGTGGAGGTGGAGGGAGCATTTCTCTTTAAGTTGTTCTTGGCCCATTTTTATTCGGCCAAATCAGCAGCACCAACCCAATCTATTTTAGGGGTGTTACTCCCTCCACCACCACACCTTTCTCCCTCCACCTCTCCTTTACTATTTTGTCCCTCAGTAAAATTTTATTTTTAGAATTGTTTCCTTCACCACCCCAAATATTCCCTACACCTCTTTATTATTATTTTTATTTCAAAAATACCTTACCTTAATTTAACTTTTACCATTTAATTTTATTTATCTTTTTTTAAAATCCTAAATCTTCCTAAACATCTGCACCTCCAAGCTAGAAAGGAGTTCCGTTCCACCTAAGCTCTCACAGCCAATGAACATCTACCATCACAATGAACGTCTACCATCACGACCGTGCATGTCTCATCCAACTCCATCCTTCCTCCACCGCTACCTTTAATGATAGAGAAGGAAGATTAAATAATAGATTAATTAAAAAATTAATTAAGATTGAGGAAATAATAGTATAGAAAGACTGACTGGTAGGGGTGTTAAAATGGCAACCCTTGACACTGGCTTAACACTACCAATTTCCCATTAAATAATGTTGTTGTTGATGTTGGTAGTGGCTATGTGCGTTGATGGGCACACCCAAGTCCACGCCTCTCATCATGCATGCCAATTGTTTGAACTTTCGAACAAGTCATCAACGCCTTCTAATGCACCACCACTACTTCTATTTTCTTCCAAACTCTTTTTTTCTTTTCCGCTTACAACATCAGACCAACTATTGAAGTTCAATTAATTCAAAGAGCTTCCATAAAAGCATCGACTTCCTTGATTCCATATTCTTCTACCCAGTCTGCACTAACTAGGTTCTACACCCACACTGTTCCCTACTTTTCCATCATCTTATGCTACCTTAAGCTACTTTCATCGAATGGATACGCAGGTTTTGATGCAAGGAGA